TTTATCAGATTTTCTCAATTTTTGCATGATATTTTCATACAGGACATCTGTTGTTCAAACTCAGGGAAGACTTTATACTGATGAATAAGGTGACCAAGTTTGATGAAGTTTGGAATAGAATTAGTAAAGTTATTATGCACACAATAAAAATTATTGACGATGAAGACGACAACAACAACAACGACAACGCCGGACAAAATTTTTCCCTTAATATACCTTTCCCTTCCATCTTTGATGGTACGGGCAAGGTAAAATTCCATGTTTGGCATATTATGACAAGGCTATATGATCATTCTGCATTATATGCAAATTTATTTCATCTGGACAAGAACAAGTTGTCCAAGACTGCAGGGGGTTGAACTTTTTTTTTTATAAATGCCTTTGTATCATTGAGACAGTTAGGAAAGACCATCAAGACAATTGTATTCATGAACTCTGAATTTCAAACTCTTGAACTTAAAGGGAGGTGGTTGTTGTGCTGTGCATCATTTGTGTTGATAAACATTAATTTTCCCATAATTCAATGCGCTCTTCTAATGGAAATCACAAGCAGGAGGTTTGAACCGGCGACGCCCTTGTTACCTTCACCTAAAAAATATCTAATTAAAGCTTGGTAGCATCTCAGTTTGTACTCGTTGATCTGCGCAACAGTCAAAGTCGCCATCTTTGTTTATACAAGACCCATACATCTCGTGTGACGCAATGACTACCAATCTTTAATGAAATTGATGTTATACCACTCCATTGACATACCTGTTGGCAAAAATCAGCATACATGTAGGTTGATTCTTTTGAATTTTGAACCATGGCAGATCTATAGAATAAGACAACTTACCAACAAATAGTTGTCCCTCATCTCCAGTATCGCTGACACTATTTCCGTTTCGTCTCTCACATCAACCTCTGTTCCAATCAATGGATGTCCCAAAGGTACGCTGCAATCAAAACACAAAAAATTAATGCAAGACATATCCACATCTTTCAGACCCAGGTTTAGTGTTTATTTTGTTTCATGTTTGCTTACCGCAAAGACTCCCATTGTGTGCGTAGAGACAAAATGAAGAAATCGACAAACAAATCAAGATTTATAGTTTTTTGACTTTGAAAAGGTAACCGACTTTGACATACAAGAAAATTTAATAAACCAATTTTTTGCAGGAAACACTGTTAGCCCCCCCCCCCCAAAAAAAACAACAACTTGTGTTGCCCTCAAGTCGGAAAATTGAAAAATTGGGTCAACAAAACAAATTTTTTTTTTTTTGGCCTTAGGATTGAAAAGACAAAGGCACTCACCTTTCAGTAGACTCAGATAAAATTTCATCCTGGGAGAGATGATAACACGTTGCCCAACTTGATACTTCAGTAATTCCATACAAATCATAAAACAGTGTTTTGTTTTCCCTTCCTTGCCAGTTTTGAATGATATTTGGTGTTGGGCAAGGTTCACCACCAAATGCCAGGATTCTCAATGAACTCTTTGCACTCAGTATCTGTGACCGCAGTAAATCCTGCCCAAATCGTCTGATGAGAGTTGGAGTTGCCTGCAAGTAATTACATTTAATAGATAAATTTTAAAGGCTGGTGGTCATCGCTTAGCGCATGTTCGAATTTCAATGCATTTCACATGCGTTGTGTACGTCACTATTAGTCCCATATCAAACGGGACACAGCGCAACGACCACCACCCTTTAATTCAACCCATAGACTGCACAATATTTCAAAAAAAATATTGGTGCAAATTTTGTAATTTTTTTTTAGGTTTTACTATTACTTGGTATATACATCTTGTTCAATTTTGGACCAAATTCACTTTGCATTGAATATGTGAACAATTACAGTAATTACTCTATTACAACTACCGCACATAATCAAGGGTCAAGGGTCAAGGGTCAAGGAGTACTCTAAACTTGCACTAAATTGTTTAGGCAAGAAAAAGTTTTGCTTTTCGTACTAGGGAAAAATTGAAGCAGTGATGATTTTTTTTTTATTTACCACAACAATAAGATAACTTTTTATGAAATAATGTTTTAGTTTTTGATACAGTTAGAATTAGATAGTTGATAGTTTTGAATTTTATTATTATTAATAGTCTTTAAAAAAAAATCATATTTTCAACATATTATACAATTCATATATACATACAACATATTCATTATTAATATACTTTGTTATACTTTTATTGATACTGTACTGATAGAAATACTGTATTTCTAAAGATGCAATAAATATTATTACAAAACATGCTCTTAAAACAGAAAACAAACTTTTCTTCATTCTACTGTTGTGGTGTTACTGGTAGACAAAAAAATACTCTTGGAATGACGAGAAGCAAAAGCTATTTTCTTTTGGCCTAAACTAACTTTGTCAGTTTGAGACTAAAATGACAATGTATTGACCTCAATCAATCAATGAATGAATTCTGCTAAATTGGCCATTAAATACCTGCATAACAGTAACACAGTTTTTCTTCAGAACTCTAGCAAGTACTCGTGGCATCAATTTGATGATATTTGGTACTATGACCAGCGTTGCACCCTGGGATAGGGTAATAAACATCTCCACAATGCTGGCATCAAATGTCAATGGGGCAGCCATGAATACATTGTCAAAATATGTTATATCAAAAATATCTCTGAAAGGGAAAAAAAAAATTATTATTTACAAAAAGTGTAGATAATGAAAAAAGAAAAAGTGTTAACGACGTCAACAACAAATTACCGTATATTGTGGAGATATAGTATCACTCACCTAATATGCAGAACATTAGGGACAATACAAGTATGAGGCACTTTGACGACTTTTGGTACGCCGGTTGTACCGGATGTATGAACTGCATACGCAATATCCAGACATGGAATTGAGGACTTGACTTTGACTTCCAGTGGTTGCTGACTTTGGATTTCCACAACAACAAGGCCATGATCAGAAAGGAATTGAACTACCCTCACTGACAACTCCGATCCTAGAGTGTCCAGAAATCTCTGAAAATACAATTAAACTTTTTAATAAGCTTTTTTTTTTCATAATTTTTAAAGTTAAATCGTACAGACAACAGTGTTAACCTTTTCACCTCCAGCCTTTCTCACCAACATTTTTCTGCATTTTTTTTTTACATTCTTCAATATTTCTGAAAATGGACTATAATTTTGGAGCCAACAGACAAATTTGAGTAAATTTTCAGTTTTTACCCAAAAACTTTTGATATTTTTGTCCAAATCTTCTGAAGAAAAGTGCAGACTATAAACGGGACTATTTTGTGATAAAAAGCAGGAACTGGTAGTGAAAATGTTAATGATAAAGACCACCTGCACATACTGGTACATGTAAAATGATCTGTATATAAAGACAAGTGACTGCTCTTTTAGCAAGAGTTTGGTAAAAAAAAAAAATATGCATGAGACCCAATCTGATTAAAATCTGATTATTTTGGCAATAAACTTGTTTTTATTTTATTTGTTATTACTGCCATTTTATTTTATTATTTTACTTTTATTTTTTATTTTTTTTTAATTCTACCCTACCTTGTTGGGCTTTCGCAATTACCAAAACTGCAAAAAATAAATACTACCCTAGATCAAAATAAAATAAAGTAAATGTACAAAAAAAAAAAAAAAAGCCAAAACTAGAATCTTATTTTAATCAGATTACATAAAGGCCTAATTGGTGTTTACACTGATATCTTCATGTTAACACACTCTCTGAAAGATGCTACAAACATACCAAAATTAATGAAAAAAAAAAACAAGTCAGCAGACAACATGTTAATTAAGACAAACAAGATTATATTTATTTATTCCTTCTATTCAATTCAATTATCATATTGTCCATAAAAATGAGAAATATTTTTATCCATGAATTAATTAACACATTGCCTGCAGGCTCTATTTTTACCCCACTGATATTTGTACATGTCTGGGGACGCTGTCAGTACACTTAATCAACCTCTATACAAAAAAAAAAAATCAAAAAAAAAAAAATCACCAGTCTATCTAAAGAATATTATTTTTAATTTCCTGGGAATCTCACTATACTCAGGGATAGTACTATACTGTAAAATACATTATTTTCGCTTGGAATTAATTTTCACTATAGGAACGACTCGGTGAAAATAAATTCCAGTGAATACACCTTTTTTCCTATATTCAACTCGTCAAATATTAGTGAAAATTAATTTCATACAAAAACACCCCAAACAAAATTTGCAGCGAAAATTGATTCCAGCTAAAATAAAGTATTATATATTAACTTGTTTGTAGGTCTTTCATACCATTCTATGGTTGAAGTACTGTCACAACCACATGTATCTGAATTTTACATTCAACTCATCAAAAAAAAAAAAAAAAAATCAGCGAAATAAATTAAATACAAACGCCCAAAAAATCTTTTCAACCAAAATTAATTCCAGCTAAAATAAAATATTATACAGTACCAGTGTGCATAAAACCTTCAAATATTTACATGCATTCTGTTTTTTTTTTTGTTTTTTTTCATTCTGTTATAAGCTTACTTTTTTTTTGACGAGTTGAATGTAAAATATAGAAAAAAAAAGTTATATTCGCTGGATTTTATTTTTACTGAATCATTCATTCAGCAAAAATAGTGAAAATTAATTCCAAGCGAGAATAAAGTATTTTTAATACAGTAATCAACTGTAACATTGACAAATAAATGCTCATCATTTAAGCTTTTGATTTCCTCAAATTAAATTGTCAACCCCCCAAAACACTTTTTTAATACGGTAGCGTACAAGTTACCAAAAATATACTCCAGTTAAACTCCCCAAAAAGTAAAATTTTAAAAAGGCCGAGCTTTTTCAAACAGACAATGAATGAGCCAAGCACGCAAGACTTTTAAAATGTTAAGTGCTTATAAAGTATAATCACAGAGGTTGAAAGTTCCCCTAAAAAAAGATTAATAATTAAAGTACTCCCTCTAAATATGCCCAGTTTGTCATTTCAAAGCCAGTTGATTTTTGTTAAAATTCATCTCAAAAATTCAAAGCTAGATTAATTATTATTTAAATTTATGATATAAAATAAAATAGTTCAAAAAACAAGTATGCCATCCTGTAGAAAAAAAAAATGGTGATGTAATTCCAAAACCTTGATACAAATTAAACTAACAGTACCACGTAATCTACATTAAATGCTCTTTGTCATGATTAATTGATACGCTTTCAACCATCTCTATTACGACATTATGATGGCATCCACGAGGACAAAATTTCACAAAAGTTGAAAAGAACTTTTTCACCAGTACAAAATTGGTCTCGATCTTGTGAAATTTAAAGTGGTTTACAGTATAGTGTATGTATTGTGAAAAATACAATGTTTTAACAAAGCTTTTACATTTGGTGCTTTACATTGGATAGAATTATAACTTTCAAAGAAGCAAGGCCATCTTATAATGCAAGTGTTAAAAAACTACACAATTGGGTCCTAATATCAATAAAAGTCTCAATTCTGAATTTCAATAGTAAAGGAGTGGGTGCACCCACTATACAGACTTCAATAAACTCTCTACAGTGTTTCCCCATTATATTATAATTTTACATACATATATACGTATATATTTGAACTCAAAATTAGTAGCAAATGATAAAGTAATTACACACGATTCAAGATATTTTCAATGTAAAAATAAATTTTAATTTAAGTATCATATTTTGACCAAAACCTGAATGCACGAGCTACAGAATATAAAATAGATTTTCAACAAATAGTATTTTCATTAAGCCCCCCCCCCCCTCAACCGCCGCCTTCTCTCTGTCTGATAAACCATTAAAAGCAAGATAAAAATGAACTCAAAGTATCTAACAATAGGAAGTGGTTTAGAGCCAGAGTGCTAACACCAATTGGGTACACCATACAGACGAATTCTATTTACATATTGGATTATATCCCATGGAAAATATGAAAATGTTTAGGCCAGACTTTTATTATCCCTTGCTTCGTGAACCCGCCGAATGAACAGGAGCCGAAAATGAAATAAAAATGCAAAATTAGTTCAGCGTAATTTCTCGCGCCTGCTGACTTGTAAGTGCAAAAAATTGCTTAAAAAAACTTATTTTTATCTTCATTTTTTTCCGCCCGTCGCATAACAAACCCAAGTTGCATTTTCGTGGGAGTATCATGATCAAAGTACCGAAGTCTCGCGCAGATGAGAAACAAGGTTATACATGGAATAACATTTTATTTCATTTCTTCTCTCCGATCAATGATCTCACTTACAATTGTTTGAGAATCACAGAAATCTAATGGGAAAAAAAGAATTAATTTTATTTTTATTCCGCCCTCCTCAAAAAAATTGCCTTATAAAAACTCGAGAAACAAGGAATAAAATACCTCTGGCCTTATCTACCATACCTGAATGACTTCTTCCTGGACAAGAACTGTTCGGATATTCAGTTTCCCAATAAAATATTTGTTAATTTCAGTCGGAGCAGTAGGATCAATTGGAGCAAACGCTGCTGAGGCTTGTAGTATACTGAATGAGGAAAAAAAGAAAATTATTATAAATAATAAACCCACCAATTCTAAATATTGTTCAAGCATAACATTTCTTTATTGAAATAAATAATAAGATAAATGGTGGCAATATTTTAAAAATAAACTGTAAATTACACATGTTTAAGTTTTTCTACGAGATTACGGGATTCCTCTTCTGGAAATAATACAATCTGTAAATACGATACGTTTAAGATAATAAAAAATGGATATTATTACACTTCTAATCCAGAGTATCTTATTCTGAGCAAAAAAAAAGAATTGTAATTTAATACGGTATAAATATTATATGTATATATGCAAGTATCATATATCTGTGTCGGAGACAGCACTGTCTGCGCTTTTAACCTGTTACTATATTCTCCCAACAAATCTGTATATGTTATCAGGTATTGGCGTTAACCCCATATTTTGCTTCCCTGACTCCAATAATTGAAAAGGGACCCAGTTTTTCAGGCAAGCTGGGGGTCCAATCTCTAATAAAGTTATCCAGGATAAAATTTCTATTTCGTAAAATTTTGTAAGCGAGACTCCTCTTGCCGAGACACTAACGCAAACCCTGATTATATTCTGTAACATTTCATGTCATCTACACACAAGAAAAGTTGTTAACCTCCACACTTGAATAATTCCCATTCATGTTATACAGGTCATGGTCGAATTTTTGTAATTGTCATTAGACTGAGACAATAATGACCAGAATGTGTACACTGATTTTTATTTTTTGAAAAAAAAAAAAAAAGATATGGAAGCACGATGCAAAGCTTGCTTACAACTACCATAAGAGTGTCAGAACGTATAATTATTGACAATAAGGAAAGTATATTACATAATTCATGCGAGTAGTACTTTATATTAACACATCAATGCCCGATTGATCTTTGCCATGTGATGGGTGATGTTGGGAGCAAAAAAAAACAGTTAAAAGTCACTGAACACAGCTGTGAACCAACTCGTGGGAAAATTCAGTGCAGTTCTAGTACTGGTAGCATTGAAAGGAACAAATTTAAATTAATTGTCTCTTTCGTCTAGGTTAAAAACTTACTTATTCATTTATGTATATTTGTAATCTAAGGCATATAGAAAGTGGAACGAAAAAAATCAAAACTTTAATTCTGGTCTAACTAATTTTTGCCATTTTCTGTATCATTTTCATTTTTATATTGAAAGTAACTTTTTCCTTCCAAGATTGAATATGTTAAACTAAAAATAAAAAAAAAATAACACATTGTAATTACTTTTGTGATAAACTGTATGTACGTATTATTTTTGATAAGCAATGACTAGCAAAATGCATGTGTCATTGTATGAATAGGTGCGTTATGGGAGGGAAAAACGAGGGACTCACTCAACCGTTGTGATCCCAAGAACACTCAATAGTGCAATTCATTTCATGTTTATAACAGAGTGTACGCAATGGGGGCTGAAACACCTCACACCTGAAACCACTCAGAGAAAGAAATATGCAACATGGTCTTGCATCAAATCTATCATGGCACTTTATATTTTTTCTCCTTTAATATGAACGTTTGCCAATTGATTTTTCCCAGCAAGCTTCAACAGCTGGCGCATCAAACCACAAATAGATCATACCCAGTTCTAACTCAGTTTGTTATGTCTGAGTAGCTCCAACACAGTGTGCACAGTACTTGGGAAGAATGGCATTGTGCACCGATTGTTGAAGAAAAACCGCAACTCAAGGTTGGGATACATTTACCACGTGGCTGCAGCTGCTTTCAAGGAACACTGCATCAATGGTAATCAAGTCTGCGGTTTCAGTTTTCCATTTGTCATTTGACCTCAGGATGATTCAGCCACTTCCAAAAAGTGTCTATATAGAGGTGCAGATGGCAGCACGACCCTGTGTGTGCAGTATAACCTTGGTGGTAACCTGCACGCACCAAGGTCGAAATCGCACCAAGGTCGAAATCGCAATGAACACTCTTCTATCTATTGTTACTCTTTCCAAGCTTAACATCATGGTCATTAGTAACTATGAAAACATTCGGCAACAATAGCAAAAGTTGGTAACATAATTACTTTCTCATGAGAAATAAAAGCCCTTGATGAAAAGAGACAATTCCAAGTTATATTTTAGTGATAAAAGTATAATTATAGTATGCAGTTTTAGTTCAAAATTGCGAGAAATGTTATTGTCATTTTTTTTTTATTGTAATGTAATTCAATACAGACTCAGATTTTGACTATCTGAATATAAATAACATTGTTTCAATTTTGAAATTCATGCTAAGCCCGATGACTTGAAAGGTATGCAGCACAACCTGCAAATTACAATCTACCATAACACGGCATACAATGTCAGAGCATATTTGATTTCCGTTTTGTAACTAATAGAATGTAACGTGCACCTGTCTGGTTTTTGGAGTCACCCAAATGACAACCCTGTTGTTTGCACATCTTATTTATTACTTAAACAGTGGGAATAATGGACGATGTTGGAACACTGCCAGAAAATTGTGAATGATGTTATCTGACATCGAAGCAGACGAACAGTCCAAATGAATGCAAACTAGAAATTATAGATTTATATAATCTGTATGATATAACAGGTGGTGTCATCACCGTAACAGAGGATCAAAATTAAGGATTTAATTTAGTATGTTAATTAATCTACCACAATATTTTCCCAATATTTTAAGATAATGCGTACGACTACCAGTATCTTACCCAAGAATAAACGCTGGGAGGAGTGCCGCTGCGTGGTAGTACAAACCAACTATTTCCCCTTGAAGATGAAGCTGTTCTAAATAGGTTGTAATCTCATCAGCTCTTTTCTGTATATCTGAATATGTTACCATGACAACTGTTTCCCCATCGTCAAAGTTTACAGCAGTTTTGTGGGGGTGCCTTTGAGCAGAATCTTGGAAAAGAGCATGTAACGTGGACCTTTCGTCCCTGTTTTCTTTGTTCAATTTCTTATTCTCGACCTGCCAAAGTAAATATACGAGTAAATGTTATTGTTTACAGCAACTACAATGTAATGGGTAAATTTCTGGGTTTTTTTAAACCAATATTAAAAATTGCGAAATATTTTTAGAAAAATGAAACTTGAAAGAAAGAACATTGGGACATATGATGAAAAAGCACAAAGACGCTAACTGCCACTAGCACTCCAGTTGGCATAATTTGGGGGGAAAAAACGCGTACTTGTATATTGTATAATAAAATGAACGCCTTAAAATGCCACAACTTCATGTAAAGTCAATTTAGTCGTGAACTTACCATTTTTTTTAGTTGGAACTACCAAACCGCCTACACAACACACCCACGCGTCTATGTTTTTCTCCGCTGGAATTCAAATAGACAGATCTTGTCGATGGGACCTGGGATCCGTTGTGGTTTTCTCTCGCATGCAGCTGCTCGCAAAACCGCAAATCAGAAACCGGAGTATCAGCCCATCTCTTTTTATATCGGTCCCTGGAGCTGCCAGTGCAGCTGTTGTACTGTATGGCGCCCTCGTGCAGTGACCTCCAGAAACCAGGGGGTGGAATGGATTATGGCCTCGTCTCACGTAGGGATGTGGGCAGTGCGTTGCTTTGGCAATGGGATTATGAAAATATTGGTTTGAGTGAACATTTATTGAAACTTTCACTGTTTTGATGAACAAAATGTCTTTAAGAAAAGAAAAAATACTGGTTCCAGGTGGATTTTTACCCGTCATTCCAAGCGACACGTTAAAATCCAGGAAGTTGAGAACACGTACAAAATGTCGGCGGCCAGTGAGGGGTCGGAAACACGACAAAAACAGGCGAATGTGTGTTGTCTTGTTTGTCAGAAAAGAGGGAAAATTTTAAAGAGATGTACTAAATGTCATGACGCATTTTATTGGTGAGTGCAGAGTGTAAAACTGTGCTTAGGGACGGACCATTATAAATTTTGGTGGGGAATAGCCTGTTATTACTGTTGAACCTTTGTTTGTAGGGAAGGGTATGACATAATTTTCGGACAGAATATATTGTTATACTTTCTTTCTCATAGTGCGTGTGTGCTCTAGCTTAAACTAATTTGGTACATTTTTTAAAGTTTATTTTTCACGAATTTAATCCTATTTGCAATTTATAGCCAGCAAAAACCACCGTCCTCATCCGCCTGCTATCATCAAAACAGTACCGTTATGTATCATGTTGTTATGTACTAGCAAAGACAATAGAAAATGTCTTTGGTACTAGTATGTTGTTTTGAAAACTTGGAGATGGCTAATAAACAAGTTTTTTAATTGACTATCCATTTCTTTACATTTATAACATCATCACTGGTTATGTGCTTCTGAGATCATCATTTTATTAAAATATAGTTTAGTTTGATGGGTTTT